TCTATTTCGGAATATCAAAGTCCCAAATCTCTCGGCTACAAGTAGTTCAAAATGCTGCAGCTAGATTCTTGAAGCGGTGTAAAAAGTTTGATCATGCCACTCCCCTCTTGCGATCATTGCATTGACTGCCATTTCACTATCAAATTGAGTTTAAAATATTGCTACTTGTCTATAAATCACTTAACAATCAAGCTCCGTCTTATTTGTCTGATTTACTCCACCCCTACTCGTCGACGAGGGGACTAAGATCAGAGGGCAAATTTCTCCTCCAGACCCCTAGAACCCGCTTAAAACCAGAGGATCTAGAGCTTTTGAAGTGGCTGGTCCCACCCTCTGGAACAACTTACCAGTTCACATCAGAATGGCTTCCACTTTATCTGAGTTTAAGTCATATCTTAAAACACATCTTTTCTCACTGGCTTTTAACATGTAGTAATATGAGCCTTTGAATTGTTTTAATCTGCTTTTGTTGTTGTATGGGTTTTGAAGTGTTTTTATTTGTTTACTGATTTTCTCCTCGTTATATATTATTGTTTGTTGTGCAGCACTTTGGTCGGCCTTGTTTCGTGCTTAAATGTGCTCTATAAATAAAACTGAACTGGAACTTGAACCTCAACAATGGTGACAATTGTTAATTTAGAAAAATGTTTGGAGCATTTTTTGTTCGTTAAATATAAGTTTTAGTTTTTTAAAGTAATGACAAAGCGGCCAGCGGCATACAGTGAGATAATCATAGCCTATGTTTGCTCAATTTAGCCTTCTCAAATCATCACGACTTGCCTAAAATAAAATCTAGATATAAAACAGTTCAAGCATATAACAATGTTTTAATGTTAAGCCTAGATAAATGTACGCTGTATCCAATAGTTTGTGCGGAGGAAGCTAAAGCGCGCTTTGCAGGATGGAGGCGCCAGCGCGATTACTTGCATTTTTTTCAGTGGATACAACAACTTAAAATACGCTGTCGTTTTTGCTCATAAAAGTTAAGAGTAATACATCATTCGGAACTGTAAAGAATCTACTTTTACTTGTGAGCACTCACAATATCAACAAAACATTGTGCTTTTATAAAATAAAGAAAACAAACATGATGCGCTTTCTGCCGTCTCGTTTTGAACAGGAGCGCTTCACAAAAATGAACCGAAACTCAGCGAATGCATGCCTCAGACATGATAAATATATGATTTAATCAGACGATGTCGCTCTTATAAATCAGGATTTAAAGGTGCTGTATGTAGGATTGATACCGAGTGGTTGAACTAAGTATTGCAATTCAAATTCAAAATATTGGAGAGGGTTTTTTTCACCCGGCCCCTCCTCCTCAGACTTGACGCACACTCAGGTTGCCAGATTGACGACACCAACAGGAACGAGTGCACTTGACGATGAATGAAATGAAATACGCTGTGTTTTCCGCCAACTGGCAACCCGGGGTGCTGAAATACAATTGGGTAAACTGGCAGTGGGCGGGTTTCACAAACCAAAACAGAGACCGACATTCCGGCCCGGAACGCACATTTTCAAAGGAGAATAACTGACTGTAGCATTGTTTTTCAGATAAACAAGTATGTTAACTTAGCATGTTTCTTAAATATCTGCAAACATATTATGGTATTTTTATGCTTCAGTAGAGTCAAAAACTTACATACAGCACCTTTAAGGAGTAATGTGAGAGTGACTCCTCGTTAACGTAATATTAATGGGTCGTGTTTAGTCACTATTTATACTTGTTTTATGTATGACAACAGAAAATATGTAAATGGGAACAGCTTTATTGGGCATTCAGTTGTATTACAGTATGTGACAGTTCAGAGAGTAGAACAGATCTGAAGTGCCAAAACTTGTCTGAACGCAAACACGATGCAATGATGTCATAAATATGCTTAACACGTCACCTGCCGCAACAAGTCTCACAAAATCCTGTGGGAAAAACTGTATTGTCCCATCCTAGGTGGGAAGTCAAATTGTGTTCTTCACACAGAAGTTCCACACGTGCAGTGGTTACACTTATGTGCCGAACCGAAAGCCCCGTACCAAAATAGTTCCATTGCACCCCAATTTGGAGTGCTGTATTTTCATTAGGGATGCACCATGTACTTATACTCATTCTCATTAAATTCTCCGATACCACACAGCATGTTCACAGTGTCTGTGTCCACACAAAGAAACACTGAACAAAACAGACGAGAGCAGAATGAACATATTCGAGATAATGGATGTCTATGATGTAAATGTATCTAATTATTCACCGTTTTATTCACATTACAGAATAGTACATTACAGAATTGCTTCTTGTTTGTTTGTCTCTAGATAACTGTGACCTGCACTTCAAGGTGGCTCGTGACAGATACAGCGGATACCCTCTGACCATTGAGGGTTTTGCCTTGCTGTGGGCAGGTGCTCGAGCCACTTATGGTGTTACCAAAGGACGTGTGTGCTTTGAAATGAAGGTAACAAAGATGCTATTTAGTGTTTGAAGCCATGTTTGAGTGCCTGAGATGGGTCACAAAGATCTTTATTGTCCTGTTCCTTGTTTAGATAAATGAGGAAATTTCAGTAAAGCACCTTCCTACCACTGAGCCTGACCCTCATGTGGTGAGAATCGGATGGTCCCTGGATTCTTGCAACACTCAACTTGGTAAATGACCAGACTTACCATAACCCTGCTTCAAAGTATTTTTGACACCTGATGCATTTTTCTTTAGTAAGATTAATCAAGGTTTGTGTTCTATGCTGCATTAACATTGTAGTTTAAGAGCTTGTTCCTTCGTATTACAGGTGAAGAACCCTTCTCTTTCGGCTATGGAGGAACTGGCAAGAAATCTTCCAACTGTAAATTTGAGGACTATGGGGAAAAATTCAGTGAAAATGATATCATCGGCTGCTATATTGTAATTATATTTTTCTCTCATACTTCTAGATTAGATTACACACAATGCATCTTAATATGGGCTCAGAGACTGTATTTTTAACCATATCTCTTTTCTTTTTTCCACTCGGATTGTTTTCCATAGGACTTTGAGAGCAGTGAGGAAGTAGAAATGGCGTTCTCCAAGAATGGCAAGTGTTTGGGCCCATGTTTCCGTGTCTCTCGAGAGGAACTGGCCGGGCGTGCTCTTTTCCCACACGTGTTGGTGAAGAACTGTGCTGTGGAATTCAACTTTGGACAGAGAGAGGAGGCCTTTTTCCCTCAGCCGGAGGGCTTCACCTTCATTCATGATATTCACCTAGAGGACAGAGTCAGAGGGACACTGGGACCAGCCACTAAAGCTGAATGCGAGGTTTGATGTGGAAATTAACTTTTAAGAATAAAAATCATTATGTATTGCAGTCTCATCAACAAGGATTTTATAATGAAAAATAATTGTGTTTTTGAATTTTCAGCTGTGGCTGAATTTTATGCATCTATAATGTAATTCCATGGAGAGTAATAATTTATAAACATTTGTTGGAAAGTGATGCCATT